ATCTCCCTGACTTCCGCAGGGGTGGGCACCAGGCCAAACACGATGCGCTGTGCGTCCTCGTCAAACATGACGTTCTGCACGGCGCCACGCTGCACATGACCCAGGAAGTCCGAGTACATCACCTGGCATTTGGAGTGGGGAGTGGGAGGGATATTGAGGGGATGCTGGGTGAGGGACAATGTTGCCACACATCGGGAAGCGAGTGCAGGATTGGACAAGTGCGTAATGCCAGGCCCCTCGTCCATTTCCTGAGAGCTGCTCGGACGCTGGTCTACACTTCATGCCGGGCCCACAGGATGCGCAGCGGCGGCCACGGCAACACTCAGACCGTTCAGTATCTGCACAGCTGGGGCTCCATCATGGCACAACCCATTGGCATAGCAGGCCACCCGGAGAATGAGTGCTCCCATCCCAATTTGAACCTTGCACTCCGTGCGCCCACCTCATGCATGCGTGCGCTGTGCAGCGCCGATGAGAGCAGGGCGCCGCCCACCAGGTAGAAGAGGATGAAGGAGGCTGCGATGCGTCGCAGCCTGCCTGGGGTCAGGAACGCCCGCATGCGCTCGGGGACAAGACCTGCACACATGGATGTGCACAAGGCATTTCATCATGGTGGGAGGAGCTGTCGAGAGGAGGACTGGATCACACCAGATTGCAGCAGCAGTCGTCGCCCCCCAAGCAGTATTTTCCCGCACCCCTTCACCCACCATAAACATCCCCCTCTGGCCATGGTGGGGCACATCATTCACCACCAATCCATAGCCACGCACGTGCTAGGAGGAGGAGCAGGGAGCGAGCAGCCTGTCTAATGGCATAGATGATCCTGCCAGGCAGCCCCCTCCTGTCCCTGCCCGGCTCGGGCTCGGACTCATCCGGGTCTCTGCCGCTGGAAGAGTCGTTGGGGGTGCGAGGACTGCTGGACAGACGTGGACTGTCGTTCAAAGCGGCGCACCACACGGTCCTGGCACGGATGGGTCCATGCAAGCCGTAAGCTCGTGAAGGCCAGGCCGAGGAGTCCTGCCACTGACGTCCAATCAATAGTCGGATGCGAGTCGGGCACACGGATTTGCTGGCAAAGCTACAGCTCTTGAAGGGAGCAGGTGTGGTGCGGAGACCCTGCATGGGTCCCCCCTGGAAGCCTCCGCTCTCCGCTACCAACAATTGGCTGGCTGTGTGGGGATGCAAGAAACAGAGCGCTATTGCAAACAAATAACAAATTGAGTAAGCCCAGTGCGTGGTGTCATGTGCATGTGTGACATGCGTTTGACTTCCAGAGAGCCACGCGTCTGGTGGACTGTGCGAATGGGAGGGAGAGGGGTCCTGATCTGCCCCCCGGGCTGCATTGCGCCCTGACTGGTTCAAAAAGAGGAGCGTCAGACGCTGCTGGATTGCCACGGTAGGACCGCAGACGAAAATACATCTGTGTTGGTACAGTTTCGAGGTGAGATCACCTTTCGAAGTAGGCCACCCAGAAGGGGGATGTCGGAGTCACCCCCCCGAGCGCCCGTGGAAGGCAGCCCGGATGAGGGAGCCGGTCCATCCCAACCGGATCAATATCCTGCTGGACTTGCAGCACTGAAAGTGAGCGTCTCTGGGATAGTTCTCCGTCCGGTGAGCTGCCTGGGGTGGCGACACACATTCCTGCACCCTGCTGCCCTGCCATGCAGGACGGAGACTACGAGCGCGCTATCGAGCTTCTGGGCAACGCCCTGCACCAGCGCACCTCCACTCATGGAGGTACGGAGCTTGCGTGAGAATCTCTGGGTCACGGGGCCGTTCAGCGTCATGATCAGCTCTGCTGCAGGCGTGGTGATCCAGCGCAGTCAATGGCTCATGCTGCCTGATCCGCGGATCCCAGATCTGAGCCTGGAGGCAGCTGCAGTCTACTTCCAGCTTGGCCGGGCCCTGCTCTTCCAGGCCCAGGACACCAGCGACTTCCTGTCCGGCGGGCGGGCTGAGGCTGCTGCTCCAGCCACCCAGCCCGCGGATGACAGGGGCAAGGCGTCTGTGACCAAGGAGGAAACTGTTTCTGGCAGCAACCAAGGTGCCGGTACGTTTTCTCGTGTGAAGCAGCATGGGCTTGGGCTCGCACCAAACAACAGGCTACACCCCTGGTCCCCTGCTGTGGCTTGGCTGAGTGGCTGCCTCCGATTCTTGCACCCGCCGTGCAGGTGACGACGGCAAGGACGGTGATCAAAGCGAGGAGGAAGGGGAGGACAGTGGGGAGGCTTCAGATCTGCAGCTGGCCTGGGAGCATCTGGAGGCCGCCAAAGTCATCTGGGCCAAGGATGGCGCAAGGAACGCGGAGCGATTGGCAGGTGGAGGGGGAATGGACGGGTGGTCGGGGGCAGGGAGCCATCATCTGGGCCCCTGCACAGCTCTCAAGCCTCACCTCGCTTCCCCGTCCCACGGAGCTGCATCATGCCTGGTCGCTTCTGTCCATCGACAGAGGTGCACTCCCTGCTCGGGGACGTGGGCTTGGAGAATGAGGATTTTGAGGGAGCGCTGTCTGACTTCCAGGAAGCTGCTGAGCACCTGGAGGCGGCCACACTGGCTCAGGAGCCCACCATCGACCAGGTGAGTGGGAGGCGGAGCTTGCTGGGGAGCAGGGAGGTAGCTCAAGGCTGGGCAGGGACAGGCATGCATGTCAGGAACCTGCAGTATTCTGCTCCCCCCTCGGTCCGAGCCACTGAGCAGTCCCCCACCACGCAGCAGGGGATTGCCTTGGCGCGTCAGCGCGCCGAGATTCTGTACAAGCAGGGGATGGCCTGGCAGTTTCTCGACAATGCCGCGGAGGCGCTGTCTGCCACCCGCGCGGCAGTGGAGGTGCTGCGCGGATTGGAGACTGAGCTGGCGGGCATGGTGCGCAGTGGAAGGGGGTGGGGGGTGGACTTGCCATGTAGAGTGTCCAACGCTGGCTGTTGTACAGGTTGCCTGGGCGCTTTGCGACACTAATCTGCATGACCCAGACCGGTGCGAGTGCCTTGTCAGACAGCGGCTCGTGCCCAGAGTACGGCCTGCAACCCATGCCACACTCTGCAGGGCGAGGGCCGGGCCCGCGAGGCCGCTGATGTGGCAGCCCTGCAGTCTGACCTGGCCCAGAAGGTGGAGGAGCTGCAGGAGGCGGTGCGCGAGCAGGCCTCCACCAAGGACATGGTGAAGGTGAGGTCGACGTAGGCCGGGGTGCGTTTGCGACCCTACCTCCTCCAAAGGGAGACCGCTGGGTTGTGTGGTGTCATGGCCCACGGATCCCCTCCCTCCCCCCAAATCCCGGATGCGTAGGCGGCGCTGCGACAGCTGACGGGCGGGCTGCCGGGCCAGACCCCCGCACCCCCCACGCCGTCCTTTCCACAGCCCAGCAGCAGCTCGGCTCCGGTGCAGGACCTGGGGACGATCGGCCGGGGGACCAAGCGCATCGTGCTCCAACCCACCCAGCCCGGCTCGGGGGCGGGAGCTGCAGGAGCTGCAGGAGCAGCGCCGCCGCCGGCCAAGAAGGCGGCGCGGTCGCTGGAGGACCTCATGGGTGCGTGAGAGGGTGGAGTCGTATGTCCTGAGATTGTGAGGAGCGGCCCAGAGGGTGCATCGATGAGTACCCCTGTCCTGCTCAAGACCACTGTCTGCGTGCCTCAGCCAAGTGGTCCACGCCTGTCATGCTCAACCTGTCGTCAGCCTCCCTCCGCCACAGGCCCCGCTGGCGGGGAGACGTCGAGTGGATTCTGAGGCGAGCGGGCCTTCCTGCGCCCGGTCAAGAGTGCTATGCACCCGTGCTGTCTTTGCGTCTTTCTCCCCATGTTACAGCACCAAGCCCCAGCAGGGCAGGCAGACAAGGTGTTGGGGGGAGGGAGGGTCCCAAGGTGTGGATGACGGATGGCGTTCATGCAGAGGTAGTGGCACCAGGTGCCGGGGGGGGGCTCCGACCCGGCTGCAGACTGGCTTGGACCTCTTGGGAGACAGAGTCCAGCTCGCCCGGCAGCCAGTTGAAGAGCGGGGGCAGCGGTCGGTCTGTGGAACGGGGTAGCAGCGGGGTCAGGCAAAGGGTCAGCACCATTGGTCTACCTGATAACTCTGACGAGGCAGGAGGGCTGCAATCAAGCACGAGCCTCCAGCCATCCCCATCACCTATTCAATGGCAGCAGCAGGCCCCCCTTTGGAATGCAACAAGCAACTCACTGTTTGGCAGCCGGCAGCCAGGCTCCCGCAGCTCATCAAAGAACGAATGTGTGAGGGCTGGCAGGGCATCTATCCTGTCCAAGGGACTGTACACCAGCAGCTTGCTGATCTGCACATAGGGACACGGTGGGGGCAGGTGAGGGTGAACGGGGCGAGGGTGGCAAGAGAGGCCACACGGGCGGTCGCTCACACAATCGACACTCAAGCGCACACAGAGCGGCACTCCACATCAAACTGGGACAAAACAATGGCTGAGTGTATGAGTTCCAGAGCCATGCTTCTCTCCACCAACCCACCAAGTCAACAGCATCTGATGGCATGCGTTTGGAAAAGATTTTTGACCAGGGGTGCGCCTTGATCTGGGAAGTGGATGAGTGGGGAAGCATGAGGACACACCACGGGCATTGCTGGATTGACGGACGCTGGAGCATGGCGACACCCCTGGGCACGAGTCGCATGCAGGTTCTTGAAAGAGCAATTCATCGACAAGGTACTAACTACCACCAGCTCTTGCACACAGCAGCGGAACCGTCGCCCAACATGTGCACAGGGGCCCAGCATGACATGATGTACCGTGCGACACAGCACACTGCATCCTGCTCCGTGTCAAGACCATCCCATCACCCCGCCAACCTACTTGTGGGAACTTGAACTCGGTGTAGTTTGGGTTCATCGCATGGATCTCTTCCCGTGTGGGTGTCCCCAGTACCTGAACGTGGATGGACAAGGTCCACAATGGCTGAGCGAATCAGACCATCATACGAGCCACCATCCTTCATGCTCCATAGAATGGCGCCATGGCTGGAGCACCGAACACGCCCCCTCCGCAAATGCTGCTCGGCACAGTGATCTCTCATGCGGCAGAGAGCCTTTCGTTGGGCAGTTTGCAGCATGTACATCCGCCACAATGTGACACGGGTGGGCTCCCACGTCAGCCAGGGTAGCTCGGTGCTCCCCTCCCCTCCCACCTTGATGATTTCGACGAGTTGGTCGACGCCGCTCTCTCCAGGGAAAAGGGGCGAGCCAAGCAAAAGCTCTGCCATGACGCATCCTACGCTCCACACCTAGAGTGAGATCATCAGGTGAGAGCGGTGGACAGGTGGCACTGGGACTGGTGCATGGCATGAGCGCAAAAATAACCTCCACACAAGAGCCTTCCTTGCAGGGTGCGCACTGCGCCAGAGAGTACAGTGGCGCCGAGCATGCTTCCCCAGATCTAGGAGCCTGCCACCTTTCCCTGCATCACATCAACAGTCACCCTCCCCACCCCGGTGCGCATCACCGATCCTCACATCGATTGCACAGGTGTAGTCTGTGGCCCCGAAGATGAGCTCCGGCGCCCGGTAGTAGCGCGAGCAGATGTAGGAGATGTTGGGCTCGCCCCTGACCAGCGTCTTGGCGCTCCCAAAGTCGCACAGCTTGAGGGCGTGCGTGGATACATTCACCAACAAGTTCTGTGGCTTGATGTCCCTGGTCAGAGAGGTCAGGGACACATTGAAAGGTGAGGGCTGGGTGTGACGGCGATGACAGTCTGTGACGCTGGAATTTCCAGTACATCCAGCCGGCGACTGAACCAAGCCTTCGATAAAACAACAATGTTCGCGGAACTCCCTGTGCCACCCACCCCCCACCCAGTACCTGTGACACACTCCCATGGAGTGGATGTACCCCAGGGCTCGCAGCATCTGATATGTGTACAGCTTCACCAGAATGAGCGGCATGCGCTGCTCATTCTTTGTGTAGTGCTTGTTGATGCGGTACACTGTATCTGGCACGAATTCAAAGACCTGTGGGCGTGGAGGTGGATCGAGGGTCGATTGATCATAGAGCAGAGCCTTCGGATGAGGAGCGGTAGGCAACGCCTGTTGTGCACTCCGCCAACATCTTCGCAATAGCCCACAGAGGAACGTGTTTTCTCTCTACAAGAACAGGTCCATGCATGTCTGGCAGAGCCTGACTTGCTGTCCACCACACAAACTCCAACCCAGCACCCCGAGACTGGGCGTCAACACCTTCAAGCCTGCACCGCCCGCCAGCCTCCAACCCCAGGCTCACCAGGTTGAGAAAGACGTCGTCCTTCTCCGAGGTGGTATAGAAACAGTGCTTGAGCAGAACAATGTTTGGGTGTGCCATGAGCCGGATGATCTGCAGCTCCCTGTTCTTGAACCGCTTGTCCTGCAGGACCTTCTTCACCGCCACCGTCTCGCCGGTCTCGACGCAGCGTGCCTGGAAGACCACGCCAAAGGAGCCGTTGCCCACGACGCGCTCGGTCACATAGCGGATGGTCTGTTTCGCACTTCCCACGCCGCCAGAGGTGGTTATCACATGGCCGACGGTGGAGGGGTCGCCCTCTGTCACATGGCCCTCAAACACCTGGCCATGGGGAGGGAGCGAGGTTGCGCTCACAGGGACACGCCTCACGAAGGAGTTCAGGCCATGCACGAAGCTCTGAAACACACTGCCAGTGTGAAATAATGTTAACAGGGCAAGCTGCTGGCGATGCTTTGTTCCCAGGGTAGACCCTCGCATCTCGAACTCGCTCGCCCGCGCAGCCAGTCTGATCACAAAATCCGCAAGCATCACCACGCCCCTCACCGGTTCCTTTCCCTCCCGCTGCTCGGTGGAGAGCCGCAGCTCCTTGAGATCCTGTGGAAGGTTCTCCAGCTCTGCTGCAGCCAGCCGGCCACGGCGTCAGGGGTCAGGAGGGCCTGGCACTCAGGCCTCAGGTGTACCCTGGCTGACAGGCAGGGGAATGGAGGACATGGTGTCAGATCCAAGGATTTTCTGGCAGTGGATGTAACGAAACAGTTTGACACGCAGACGCAGGGATCTAGCCCGCCCCGTGGTGCGCGCAACAACGGACCCGGTGCCTGCCGGGTCGTTGGAGGACTGTCCGCCTGGATGGAGCTGTCCGCGTGTGTAATCTTCCGATCCAAACTCCTCAATTCTCCCCACGCAAGCCTGGCAAAGTCGCGCTGGGGTCTCGGCCGGTACGAGGGGGCGGAAGAGTGGTTCCTAAGCTCAGCCTGGCCCAGGGGCACGCAGGGGCGAGCGTACCGAAATCCTTACACGGGGTCAAGCTAGGGTCGATAATCAGCAGGCAGCGGTCGTGCGGTTTCTAAGGGCCCGGGAGTTTTCCTCCGCGCCACGTCCTGATCTGGGAGGGTCAATTTTCCTGGCTTCTTTGCCGGGTACAGTTCGAGAATGCGCGCTGCAACAGAAGAGATCCAGGGAGCCACGGGGACATGATCACTCGTGTGTAGCTTCTCGAGAAAATTCTACGCGATCGAGCGCAGCCCCGGCGAGGAGCTGAGGCCCGGTGCTGTGGCTTTTGCCGGAGATGGCCAACCCAGCAGAGACGGTGCAGGCTGCCCTTCAAAACATCGAGAATGAGGACGAGTTTGAGGAATTCGAGGTCGAAGGTGAGAACCTCTCCTACACTCATAATCGCATGTCTGCAGATGCCATTGATGGGTCGCTCTGCTCACGACACGCCTGCGCTCCACAGAATGGGATGAGTCCAAGGAGGACCCAGCGAACTCCTGCTTGTGGGAACAGGACTGGGACGACGACGACATCAACAACAACTTTGCTGAGAGATTGAAGGCCGAGCTTGCCAAGTCTGCAAGCTGAAAGGGCAGGGATGAAGGAGGATTTGCTCCATGCTGGACCAACCAGCGCCAGGGAGATCCGTGGGCATTGCCGTGGCCTTCAAACGCGAGCATCTGAACCACATGTGCTGCCAGGACTTGGTCAACACATGCATCGCGAGTGGTCCAGCAGGACCGCGCGGAGATGAGCTCGGTGCAGCCTGTTGGGAGGGGTGCCAGACCACAGCAAATCGGCCGCGATGTGCTTGCAAATAGTGACACTCCCCTCTTCGTTTTCCTCTGCTGGTCACTTCTAGTCTGGTTCTGCACCTCACCATGAATCGTTTCTTGTCAAGAATTACAGGACACCTTGCACCAGAGACAGGCAGACACAATCACAAAGGTAGACATACTCCACCTGAGGCTGCATTGGTCATACCCCACACGGGTGTGTGCTATCAAACCGGGGCCAGACGAGGGTGAGTGGTTCTGTGTGCACGCTGTGGAGTCCTGACCCATGCATTCTGATGGGATGCGGGGCGCCGGCCGGTGGCAGGGGACTACTCTGACCTAGGCGGAGGACAATGACAATTCCAGAGGTACTAAAGCAATAATCTCGAGGTCTGTTGTGCAAGAAGGGGTCTCACTGCGCAAGGACTGCAATTGGTGTGAAGGAGGGGAGGAGTACAGTATGATGATGAATTTTTGTGATGGTAGGATTTCCTCCACCTTGGCCAGATTGGCAAACCTTTACCGTCCTCCCGGCAATTGTGCAGTACAGGAGGCCTGTGGATACTTGTACAGCGCGTTCACGTTTTGAAGACATTGTATCGTGAGCATACACAGCTCTTTCAAAGTCCAGGCGGCCCTGACGCGTGCCCGACGCCCGTCCCCTCCTCTCGGCGCTCTGTGTCTCTTGCCCGCGCTGCACGCGACATGCACGTCTCGGCGCCGTCGAGAGTGCCGGAGTCCAACCTTCGATAGCATGCGACCCCCAAAGGGCGCTCTGGGCGGTCGTGCAGCACGGAGCTGGCACCTCCTGGTCAGCTGCTTGCTCGTGCTCCTCCTCGGCCTCAGGCCTGGCCTCGCCAAGGAGGTGAACCTCGGGTGGTCGCCGGTACACTTATGTTGCGACGCCTCAATTTTGCTTCCCGCAGGGTCTCGCAGGCTTCTAGCACCCGGCAGGATCTCCAGCTTCTCTGCACCCCCCTGGCACCCACAGGCACTCGAAGTGTCCTTTGCAGCAGGCCAGTCGGTGCATGCCCCAGGCGTGGGACAGGTCCCTCTCCGCCTCTCCAGCCTGCCCAGCGACCCCCTGGCGGTGCTGTGGGAGGTAGAGGGCCTGAGCCCCTGCGACCCCGCCGATGTCCTGCCAGCCGCAGCCAGGGCGGGGGTGGCCCTGTTCCAGAACCTCACCTCGCTCGACATCGCCATCCCCATCGCCTGGAGCGCCATGCACAGCAACGAGACGTGCAGCCTTGGTAAGGGGACAGGTGGGGGATGATGTGCTGCCAGGGGAAGCCTGGCGTCTGTAATGTCGTCCGTGTCGGGGGGGACTCGCCCTGGCGTCGTCTCGCAGGCGCATGTGCATGTTGGCCAGCCCCCCGACCATCCCCCCCCCCTGATTCTTACGGACCCACCCGACCCCTCCCCTCCCTGCAGGCCTCAGGCTCACCCCCCTCTCCGGCTCCGCGTCTGTGCGGCCCCAGCTGGGCACAGCGGCGCTCATCGCCTTTCCCCTTCCCCCTGGCACATGCCCCCCCGGCACGGCGGTGGCGGGGGCCTCGCAGGCTGTGCGCGCAGTGCTCGGCAGCGCCAGCGACGTCAACTCGACGGCGGACGGCACGGTGAGCGGTGCCGTGCTCCTCTCCCGCACCAGCCGCCTGCTGGCCCTGGCGGTGCGGGGCCAAGGGAACAGCTCCCTGACGCTGTCGGCCCGCCAGCAGGGGGACCAGGAGGTCTACGCTGCCATGGTGGAAAACGGCGTGGAGAACGTCACCCTCTGTGCAGTCCCTGCAGAGGTGCATGCGTGTGTGGTTGGGGAAGGGGGGGGGGGGGCCCAACAAGTGTGGGAATGTGGGCTGTCCAGACGCCTGAGGCCTGTGAGGCCGCAGCGCGGCCTGCTTCGTACAAGGCTCCTCGGGCCAACATCATCAGACCACCCATTCCATGCACCGACCATTTCCTCGCTCCCACTGTACGCAGGACTACGAGCTCCGGGTCAGGCTCAACACCGGCGGGGACTGGGTGCCCGCGCAGGGCGGTGCCTGCCCCTGCCGCCTGCCCGGCGGCGAGGGCCTGGTGGAGGCCAGCTCGGCCGGCGCGGGGGCGAACGAGACGGCGCTGCTGGGGGCGGGGCCGTGCTCGAGCTGGCGGCTGGACCTGGGTGTGGGGCCCAACCAGTTTGACCTCGTTCCTCGTCGCGCGGACGGCAGCGGTGCGGGGAACGAGATCCCTGGCGAGGGGTCAGCGGCGGCGGTGCCCGCGTCAACGCCCGGCGCCCCCCCTCGAGGCGCGCCCCCCTCTTCCCTCAGTGTCGTGCGGCGGGCCCCGCCCTCCCACGTGCGCCTGGCCAGCCTGAACCTGACCACGCCCGCCGGCACCACCGCCACGCTGTGTGCCGCCGCCGGCGCCGCGCCGCGCGTCTCAGCGCAGAGCCTGCAGGCGCTGGCGCTGGCGGATGGGGCTGTGGACGGCGTGGGCCGCTGCATTCCGGGCGTCCGGCTGAACGTCAGCGTGCCCGCGCCTTCCGAGTTTGTGAGTCTGCGCGCGGGGCTGGCCTTCCCGCACGTGGAGGGCATCCGCGTGGAGGCCGGCGGCCAGGTGCTGACGCGCGGGGGGGTGGGAGACGGCGCTGACGCCGACGGCGGCGGCGACGCGCTTTCCTTCCCGCCCACCGCCCCCCCCGAGACCTTCCTCCCCGCCGCGTTCGTCATGCGCCTGCCCAGCGACATGCCCGTCGACCTCGACGTGCTGGTGGTGGCCGAGGACGGCGTGACCTCGGCGCGGTACCCGCTGCGCCTGCTGCGCCGGGGGACTGCTGGCCCGGCCGGCGCGGCGCGCGGCGCGGCCGGCGCGTTCGCGCCGCTGGCCGAGGGCCCGGCCCCGGAGCCGCTGGCCCACGGCGGCCTGGAGGAGGAGCAGGGCCCGCTGCAGGCTGGCGACGGCGATTTCGGGCACGGCGGCGCCAACTGCACGGCCTGCCCGCCGGGCTGGGCCAGCAGCACGCTGAACGCCAGCGCATGCACCATGTGCCCGCCCGGCACGCAGGCCTCGCAGGTGTGCTGTCAGCAGAGGGGAGGTGTTCCGGGTGGGGGAATTGGGACCGGAGGGGGAATGCCTGTCACAAGATCCCCAGCAGGACCCGCTGCGTTCCTGTGCTCCCCCCTGTACTGCGCGGGGTTGGCGCGCGCCCTTCCCATGGTCTCCTGGCTGCTCAGCCCAGCAGCATGTTGCCCGGCCCTGGATACGGTGCCGAGGGACAGACCTCGTGAGGCAATTCCCTCTGTGCCCCTGCTGAGGAGGGCCCTCCTCCAGACTACCAGTGCCCCTCCCTCCCTCCCCCGTCCCCTCAACCATCCCACCACTCCCACGTGTCCCTCCTCAGGCCCAGGCCTCGACCTGCCAGTCCTGCCCCGCAGGCTCCTACTCCTACTCCTGGGGCGCCAGCGCCTGCCAGCGGTGCATGGCTGGCACCTTCAGCAGCGGACCCGGGAGCACGCTGTGCAGGCTGTGCCCTTCCGGAGTGACGACTCAGGACGGCGCCACGTCCTGCGAGGCTGGGGTGGGGGCCGGCAGCGCGGCGGGCGCGGGGGCGCAGCAGCGCTTTGCGGTGGTGGTCTCCTTTGCGGTCATGGTCAGGGGCATCGACGTCGATGCCGCCGTGCTCCAGGTATGCCTGTGAGGAGGGTGTGAGGGGGGTGGGCTCGGGTGGAAGGGGGGCGCTATGGGGCTGGGTGCATGCCTTGGGGGGGCTGTGAGACCTGCAGAACCCCCCCCTCCCCCAACACCCACCCACCCACCCATCCACCATCTACCCCACAGGCCGGCGTGGCAGCATCCCCCGCGGACATCGTGGCCGCGCTGATCCGGGCAGACACGGCGGTGGCTTTCAACGTCTCCCTGGCCTCGGTGTCGGTGTCGACGGCCGAGCTGGCCAGCCGGCGCACGCTGCGCGCGGTGGTCAGCGCGTCGCTGGACGTGGCCGTGCCCGACAACGCCACCGCGCCGGAGATCGCGGCAGCACTGGAGGTGCAGCGTCTGAGCGCCGACGCGCCCATCGCCTGGCTGGCCGACGACCCGGACTCCTTCTTCGCGCGCACCACGCAGACGCTAGCGGTGACGGTGACGGCGGGCGGCGCGGCCACGCAGGAGGTGCGCCCCGACGCCCACCTGCCCCCGCTCCTCGTCTGGCCGCTGGCCGGGCCGGGGCTGGCATGCCTGGGCGTGGGCCTGGCCCTCCTCCTCCCCCTCCTCCCGCGTGGGGAGGGCTGGGGCCGGCGCCTGAGGAGGACGCTGTCCCCGCGCCGGGCAGCCCGCTCCATCGCCTGAGGCTGGAAGGGGAGACAGGGGCCGTGGCGCGCGGAGGGATACGCCTGGCGAGAAGAGCTGCAGGGGAAAAGTGTGCGGCCCGCCCGCTGGCCATCGCATCCCTCATCACCCAGGCGCCCGGCGCACGGTGGTTGTACCTCGATGGCAGGCCACGGCTGCCGCTCGCCTGAATCCCAATCCCCTGTTCCTTGAGGGAGGGCGAGTGCAGCTCCCCACAGCGTGCCTGGTGTCATCAAAGAGACCGGCACGCCCTGTACCAGTTTGCTGGAGTGAGCACCAGCAACACCCGCCCCAGCAGCGGCGCTGCTGGGGCTTAAACCTCTGCAAGATAGGCACCCACATGCAGGACGCCATGCCCAGGGCCTATGCCCCTCTGCAGGACAACTGTGCGATTACATCCGCTCCTGAGAACATCGTTCTTGACAAAGGATTTGGGGCACAGGAGGTGACTGAGAAGGGTGCAGATTCAAAGGAGCTTCAATGGATCTCAAGACATGTATGAAGGGGGCGGAAGCCTGAAGGTTTGAGGGATTCAGAGGACAGATGGGGTTCATGTCGGCATCATGCGTCAAAGCATGGGAGGTACGAAAATCTGACGGCTGGCGGTCCCTTCAACTAGGGAGGGTCAGCCACGCGGGGCGGTAGGGCTTCACAGAGGCTCCTTCTTCAGGGCACCATTGGCGGCGGCGCGCTGGTCGGCGGCGGCCTGGCGAGAAACGGTGCGCGTGGCGTCGCGCTCAATGATCTCCAGGGACACGGGGCCCATGACGCGGGACCAGAGGGCGTGGCGGGCAAACAGGATGGGCACGCGCTCCACGGGGACGCCCTTGGTCTCGGGGATGAGGAAGTATGCGAAGAGGGTCATGATCACCACCCAGCCTGTGTGGTGGATTTCAGGGGGGGGGTTCAAGTTTCGCCCGGTGCTGCACAGCGCAGTCGGTGCCCAGAAGCCTGTGTCCCGTCGGTATCACATAGCACAGACACTGCTCCATCCACGCAACGACCCTGCTCACCGGCAAAGAAGATGAACACGCCCCACTTCATGGCGCAGAGCATGGACAGGAAGGACTGCCCGATCACAAAGGTGAAGAGGAAGTTGGCGGCCACGGCGATCGCCATGCCGGCGGGGCGGGTCTCCAGGGTGTGGATCTCGGAGGGCACGAGCCAGCCCATGGGGCCCCAGGACCAGGCAAAGGAGGAGATGAAGACGCAGATGACCACCAGCACGCCCACGGTGGTGCCGGTGGGCAGCTGGCCATCCTCGTACTTGCCAAACTGGGTGGCGAGGACGATACCCACGATGAGCTGGGAGACAAACATCTGCACGCCGGCCTCCAGCAGGAAGAAGCGGCGCCCAAACCTGTCGACCAGGAGGACGGCGACCATGGTGGAGGCGCAGTTGATGCAGTTGATGATGATGGTGTTGAGCAGGGATGTCTTGCGGCTTGTCCCCAAGGAGTTGAACAGCACGGGAACGTAGAACATGATGGCGTTGATGCCTGAGGGGGAGTTGAAGGGAAGGGGCTCGTGGGAAGGCTGTCAGGGGCATGTGCTACAAGTCACCAGCAGAGCTGACTCATCCCACCCTCCACCACTGCATGCCATCATTCTCAATCCACCCCGCCCCCAAGCCCACCAGTGAACTGCTGGAAGAATTGGATGATGATGTCGATGATGAGCTGGGGTGCGTTGGCGCGGTGGAACATGAAGGAGTAGGACTGGCGCAGGGTGACACGGCTGGCCTCCTCCGTGGCCTCGATCATGTCCTCCAGCTCGGCCTCGACGTCCTCCACGCCACGCAGGCGTTGCAGCACGGCGCGCCCCCTCGCCACCTTGCCCCGCTCCACCAGCGAGTTGGGCGACTCAGGCAGGACTAAGGAGCCGACGCCCAGCACGATGGCGAAGGCGCCGGCCAGACCCAGGGACACACGCCAACCCGCCGCAAAGTTCTGGGTGCCGTAGTTGACCAGGCCGGCGACCAGGATGCCAAAGGTGACGGCAAACTGGAATAGGATGTTCAGGCCGCCGCGGTACTGAGCCGGGGCCACCTCCGACAGGTACATGGGCACGGCGGTGTTGGCAAAGCCCACGCCAAAGCCCAGGATGCAGCGGCCGAGAAAGAGCATGGCCAGGTTGACGGCGCCGCCCTGCAGACCGGCGCCAATAATGAAGAGGCAGGCGGCAAGGAACATGGTGGGCTTGCGGCCATACTTGCGGCACACGGTGGCGGCCACCAGGGAGGAGAACATGCCCGCCAGGAACATGGTGGAGGTAAAGGTCTGCAGCACCTGGTTGTCGTACCTGGGTTGAGATCGAGTTGGAGTCATGGCTGAAGGAGCATCGAGCTGGTTTGGGCAGAGAAACCAGGGGGGGTGCCCACCCCTTCAGGCACACCCTCAGTACCCACTTGCAGTACGGGCTCGTGTCTGAGACTCCCAGCTGTGTGCGCTCGTAGATCTCGGGGAAAAATTTCTCTTGGAAGGAAGCCATGGAGTGGACGCCCCCCGTCACACCCTGCGCATGGAGCGAGGAGGGTCCAGGGATTGCGATGCTGATCATGCATCAGAGGCTGGTCCGATATGAGACACGCAGGCAGGGCAGGTGGGCATCCCATGGAGTATCCATCCACGCTCACGATGTCATAGCCTGTGGGGGAGCGAACAGCCGAGATGAGCATGGGAGGAGGAGGAGCGGGGGATGGTGCGTGCGGGATCTGTGCAGGTGCAGCTTGCAACCCTGCAGCTGACGGTGCACTTGCGATGCCATCACTGCTGCCACACTCCTGCGATGCAGTCCAGGTCGCCCAAACGTCATGCCACACTCACCGAAGAGAAGACCACCACATGCCGCCATGATGGCGACGGAAATAACGAAGCCTGTCAAGCGACCATTATAGTGGTCAGCATTCGCGCCGACAGTTGCTGTCAGCCCGCCACCTGCCATGATGAAGCCTTCAGCTCACACTTGATCGTGAAAGAATGAAACCTGTGACCTCGGAAATCTTATGCATGTCTGACAGCCGTGGACATGTCGGATTTTAACTTGTAGCATCGCCAGGGTGTTGATGGAACGGAAAGGATTTAGGCCGCGTCAGCGGCGGCACAGCGGTTTCCGAGCAAACGCGAACTGCGCATCGGTTCAATGTACTGCGACCACCTCGCGCACTCCTTGGGCCAGGGACTCGTTTTCGATCTTAAGTACATGAATTCAACATATAATAATCCGTCGCTGGACAGTGAGAGGCTTGCCGGCGAGGTAGGGTTTCGGAAGCTGTCAAATCCCCGACCACATGGGCATCGGCTTGAACTGCTCCGCGCACGCATCGGATCGGCTCCAGTCTGACTCCTCGAGCGCAGATGACAAATTAATACAACATAAGATGATTGTACCCAGCACAGCAGGCATCATACCTGCAAACTGTACATGACGAGGATCCCTTTCCCTAAGGGTTGGTCTCGATTGCGCTCCTCAACCTTCCTGGGCTCGCTCGGGTATCAGGAGCCAATATGTGCTTCTGCAAAATCTACAACCTAGTATCCCTGCTCTGGGTGAGGCACAGAAGTGATCTGCTCTTTATCTAGCAGAGGGCGAAGGGACCATGGCCCACAGCTTGCAGTTGACGGGGAATGGTGGTTGGAGATCAGCCTGCAGTTTTCCTAAGCATAAAATGTTCCTCCTCTTTCAGACTGCAAAATAGATGTTACATGTGCATTGTCATTTGGCGTAGAGGTCGAATCCACTCTGAGCACAGCGGACGACCACCTTCAATTGCTTCGGGAGGGCCCCTCCCCACTCATCCCATGTCCAGGAAGCAATTTTCCCTTTACATGCACATCTTGCGGCATGCCTCGACATAATGGCTCTGGTTCTTCTTCCAATATGCAGCAAGAGTCTGGAGGGGGCACCGTGATTTGGCATCACCTGAGAGGAAATTCAAGGCCTGCACGGAAATGATGAGAGCCGCCGTAAAGCTTCAACATTGGGGCTGGGACAATGGCTGACATGCAGATTCCCACATAAACTCTTGCGAGTGTTTTGGATCAGAATGATATTGAGTGGGAAGTCAGCGGGGGTATTCCTGTAGCAGGGCTTATGCTTGTGACGGCAGCTGGCAGTCGTGTCCTTTCCGGGAGGTCCAGCACCCCATGCATCACATCCGGAAAAAAGGGGTGGGCGAGAGATTGCAAACGACGCGGAACTTGGCTTTTTTGACCCATCCTCTTGAAGTCTGCAAGCTCTAAAGATCTAGCGGCGACCCCATTAATGGACATAGAACTTCGGCGAAGGTCAGTGCGATTCTAAGGCGTCGCATATGGGGGCCCCTATACTGCTATTTACGCTTATCGTACCGAGTCTTAGTGTGACGTCCAACGTAAGTCCCAAGGATGTTTGTGATGCCGAGGAATTGCGCTGTACGGGGTGCTCTACAGGACCGTCTACCCAACGAAAGCAATTGTACGAAAGGGGCGCCCGCACACCGTCTCCAACTCCCCCAGGGCGCGTGCACTGCCGGGTTCTTCTCACTCCCGGCAGTCACGTGAGTTTGGCGAGCGGAGCTGGGTTCGTTCGTCCCAGCTTCCTTCGACTGACTGTGCTGGCCGCCTGCTGGAGCGGCGGATGCTGCAGCGTGAAGCTGTGTTGTATCTCGTCCGGCCATCATCTACCGACCCCTCCACCCATCGTTCCCATCATCCTCTGCGATAGGCACGGACCACATCTCTATTTGTTGGAGCTTGGCAGCGCGGATACCTTCTGCGAGTAAGTGCTCGTCATCCCTACATATTGTGGCTGACAAGAACATGTCACAGAACCAAGAGCCCATACTTGTGATCGGCCCACCCGCCTCTGAACTGCTCCCCGTGCATGACCCATCACAGGTCGCAAGGGTACAGCAAGACCGGCTCTGTCAGGAATAGCACTCTGAACACCTTGGATCTCCCAGTCAGTGCCGTTCAGATGAGACCTTTCAAGGTCTTGGAAGCGCGGTCCACAGACATCATTCTGAGTGTGGAGTGCTTGAAGACCAGACAGACAGCGTGCGCGACTGACGAGGATGGCAACACCGGAGCTGGGAAGCAGGAGAAGAACAAGTTTGAGGACTCCCACGTGGGCGACTGGAACATCGGTGAGCAGATTGGAGGAGGCGGTGGGGTGACACCAGAGGTGAGGTGTCGACTCCAA